TCAAAATTTGACGGATGAGCCACTTATTTTTTAGGCCAGTCTGGTACAAGAAAGGGATATTTCAGCCTGCATAACCTCTATAGGTCATGACCATAACATCATTAAATCCTTATTACGAGTCGTTCCTGCATAATATAATCTCTGTGCTGTGCCAAATACTAGCCTTATGTGCCCATTTACCTTTTGTAGCCATGCGGGCCTGGAGTTCGCTGACAGGTGGCAAGGCAATGTCTGAGCCCATCTGACCAACGAAGAGTAGGGTGTTGTGGCTTCGGTCCAATCTTCAGTATAATATGATAGAATCATTGTCGATTGATTTTTTCTTCTTTTTTTTTCGAGGAAGAAAAAACAAAAGATGACGTATACGTTTTTCATATCCACAACAGGAAAGAAGAGATAACGAACGTACGGTCAGTAAGGCTAAAAATAATGCTCTATAGACCCAACTCCCCTCCCCAACCCCGCCATCACCATAAATGATATAGAAAAGTGTTCAACAGTCAAGTTCATTCCACTGCACCCTTGCAACCCCCATAGTTAGAGATACAGTATACTGCTGACATTCAGATGGACACCACTATATAACATATGTGAAGCATGCTAACAAAATGAGTTCCTTCTCAGATTCAAGCCTAATGGAAACAGATACAGCACGTTTGTAGGTGAAGTTTTTACAGTTTATAAGTGTGAAATAATAACAAAGAATGTTATAGTTAAAGAATATGGCATCAATAGAAAGTTTATAAATTTGACCCTAGTGTCGACTTTTGGCCAATGTATCCATTGGTGGATTGCGAGAAGTAACTCATTTTGTCAGCACGCCTCACATATTAACTCCATCTTTTCCATCTTCAAAGTGTGCAAAAGTAGTATAAACTACACTATTAATAGCCTACACAACGTCCTACATCTCACCTGTAGATAGGTCCATACCAGACCCTCCAGGCGAGCATTGGGTCTCGCAGTAACAGAGTACAGAAGCTGGGGTAGACGCCAAGATCTACTGCAATATTTTCCATCATCTTGAAACCTGGGAGCTGATAGAAACAAAATTGAAAATTTTAAAGAAAAAAAGTATTTTAAACAGGTTAAACATCACACTTTTTCAAAGGATGAGAATTGCCCATTCAAATTTTGTTTTGTACAGTTTTAAGAGAAGCGCAGAAACATAATAGAGAACCTTTAGTGAAAAAAATAAAAGAAGCAGAATCAACGGAAAGAAAGAGCACGTGGAAACTATTTTTTAAAAATTTAACCTACAAAAACTATCTGCCTTCGATAAAGTACAATGTATAAGAAGGTTACATCTGATTCAGTATTAGAGATTAGCATTGGGGGAAACCAAACTAAAGACAGAACAAATAAAGTTTTTCATGGGGTGAGTACTTACAAAGTAGCTGTAACGTTTCCGCCTGCGCAGAGTAGCTTCATTTAGAGAATCCACGCACTGTCTCATCTTTCTTTGAGGTGGTAATTCTACTTTTCCTGCCAAAACTGTGGAAACATGCAAGATCCAGTTTAGATATAATGTTTTATAGCTATATTCGTAGAGGGTCACAAGTGTGCAAATTATAGAATTGTGCACATGCACACACACACACACACACACACACACACACACACACACACAC